TGTGCATCATCATTAGAGATGAATAGACAAAACCCGTCTGATTTCTTAAATCTGATTCTCGAAATGAAAATTTGAAAACAAAAAAACACGCCGTTGCCGGGGATCCCAAACCATTGTATTCTTCCAATACTCTAAAAAATAAGCAACCGGACGTGGTCTTGGAGTTTTGAAAAGAAAAAGATGACGATGAGTGTTTCCAACAGAAAATTATGACAAGATGATAAACATGGGTATACGCCTTAACATTTTCTTTATTATATTACAGTGCACATTGATCAATTTACGATGAATAAACCATAGAGGGTTGATATTATGTACCCCTCCGTAAAAAAATACTCCCTCCGTACTGATTTCAACGCTCTTATATTAGTTTACGGAAGGAGTATAGACTTTAATGATCTAAACGTTCTTATATTTCTTTACGGATGGAGTAACTCAGATTTTGGAGCCCAAAAAGTCACAATCATCAAAGCAAACAGATTTTGACAAAAAAAAAGCTTATTGTGCATCATCATTAGAGATGAATAGACAAAACCCGTCTAATTTCTTAAATCTGATTCTCGAAATGAAAATTTGAAAACAAAAAAACACGCCGTTGCCGGGGATCCAAAACCATTGTATTCTTCCAATACTCTAAAAAATAAGCAACCGAACGTGGTCTTGGAGTTTTGAAAAGAAAAAGATGACGATGAGTGTTTCCAACGGAAAATTATGACAAGATGATAAACATGGGTATACGCCTTAACATTTTCTTTATTATATTACAGTGCACATTGATCAATTTACGATGAATAAACCATAGAGGGTTGATATTATGTACCCCTCCGTAAAAAAATACTCCCTCCGTACTGATTTAAACGCTCTTATATTAGTTTACGGAAGGAGTATAGACTTTAATGATCTAAACGTTCTTATATTTCTTTACGGATGGAGTAACTCAGATTTTGGAGCCCAAAAAGTCACAATCATCAAAGCAAACAGATTTTGACAAAAAAAAAAGCTTATTGTGCATCATCATTAGAGATGAATAGACAAAACCCGTCTAATTTCTTAAATCTGATTCTCGAAATGAAAATTTGAAAACAAAAAAACACGCCGTTGCCGGGGATCCAAAACCATTGTATTCTTCCAATACTCTAAAAAATAAGCAACCGAACGTGGTCTTGGAGTTTTGAAAAGAAAAAGATGACGATGAGTGTTTCCAACGGAAAATTATGACAAGATGATAAACATGGGTATACGCCTTAACATTTTCTTTATTATATTACAGTGCACATTGATCAATTTACGATGAATAAACCATAGAGGGTTGATATTATGTACCCCTCCGTAAAAAAATACTCCCTCCGTACTGATTTAAACGCTCTTATATTAGTTTACGGAAGGAGTATAGACTTTAATGATCTAAACGTTCTTATATTTCTTTACGGATGGAGTAACTCAGATTTTGGAGCCCAAAAAGTCACAATCATCAAAGCAAACAGATTTTGACAAAAAAAAAGCTTACTGTGCATCATCATTAGAGATGAATAGACAAAACCCGTCTAATTTCTTAAATCTGATTCTCGAAATGAAAATTTGAAAACAAAAAAACACGCCGTTGCCGGGGATCCGTCTAATTTCTTAAATCTGATTCTCGAAATGAAAATTTGAAAACAAAAAAACACGCCGTTGCCGGGGATCGAACACGGGTCACCCGCGTGACAGGCGGGAATACTTACCACTATACTACAACGACTTTGTTGAATTTATTTCTATAGAAGTCTATAAAACCTAGGGCAAGATCCACTGAACCCAACTCACATCAAATTCTGTTTCTAGCACAGAAGCTGATATAAAGAGCATTAACAGAGCAGGCGATGCATTGCAAATCAGATGGATGACCAGGTCGGTGCTAATGTAAGTGTGAGGGTATTCACTAGCTCCCAGCTTGCACACATCAGGTGACTAAGATAACGAGCCTTGTGAAGTTCTGCCTCACACGACATCATCTCCCCGCCATCTCCGGCTATAAAATCCCAACGGTGAAGCTTCCCCATCATGTAAATCATGTCTGCCACCGCCTCCTAGTCACTTCTCGATGACAATGTTGTCGTGCCGACCAGCAGGGGATTGGCTCAACATTCTCGACAACGAGAGTATGCTTTCACAGTTGCCTCATCTCCATGCGTCGCACTTCTCGTGGCCACCACAACATTCTCCTTGTGCCGCGACACATGGAACGACTGGTGTGGCGGCGGGCATAGTGGACCTGTTGCCTCAGGCGCCATCCTCCGGCGAGAAGATTATATCATCGCCTCCGATGCCTCCCAACCTCCGCCCCGCCCCCTTTCAGACCAAGCTCGAGACCTGAGACACAACGAGTGTCGTTATGGCGGGGAGGAGTGGTATATCACCCTCTTTGCTTGTCGCTCTGAGGAGTCGTTGGAGGCTCAGTCTGCCGCTAGACAACCACACCCTCATCTACCTTGACGAGGACTAGACGACGTGAGTCTTTTGCATTGTTTCTTGTGCCTGTTTTCTAAAAAGCATGCCCACCCTTGCATTGAGCTTGACTGCAACCATTATTGGACTATATCAACGGAGTCATCGTAAGGTCTGCGAGAGAATTTGCACGATGTCTTCTTGTTTTTTTCTTGCGAATAATGTCTTCTTGGTTTGCTTGATGCTAGCTCTAATACACGCATTTTCTCTTAAAAGAACTCTAATATACGCCTCATCACTTGCTTGATGCTACCTCTGCTGCTCTTCGTAAAAAGAAAAATCGGCCGTGAGAGACGAGGGAACCGAGGAAACGAAAATCGCCATCATGAACCGATTCCGCCCGTCTGTCACGAGTTGGCGCGGAGGGAGGCAGCCCCGTTCCCGCCCTCCCGGGCCAGCCGAAATTTCACGATGCCACCCGTCGCCCCGCCCACCCACCAAAAGAAGAAAGAAACTTGTAGGGCGCGTGGGACCGACTACTGTGGCTGTGGGAGCGCGGGCTGGGGAGCGAAATTTCGAAATCCCCTCGAAACTCTTGGCCGCTCTCTCTATCACTTGGTGGGGAATTCCCCTCCCCTCCGCGCCCCCGCCGCCCGCTCCCACTTCGCTTCCTACGCTCCTCCGCCCCGCCGCGCCGCCACCTACCCAAACCTCCGCCCTTCCGAGCAAGCGAGCGGACGGAGCACCCTTCCGCGGCGACCTCCGGCTTCAGGTGAGGACCAATCTCCACACCCCCTCCCCCGCCCCCAACCCCCGACGAC